AATTGTTTTTTTGAGGGAAAATAGATAAAAAGAATGAATAATAGATAATTAGTGGATTATATTCGTGACCTTTGCTTTATTTTGTCTAAGACTAAAATGGAATTCAACCCATATTAGAGTATCTCCAATATTTTAGTATAACTCATTTTTTTAACTCAAATATATTAGGTATATAATTAGGTATTTTAGTTCAACTTATATTCACTATCTATATGTAATTAGTTTTCAAAAGTTAGGCAAAATGTATTCAATCTTTCAGATCATTTCTCTTATTCTTGATGTGACATTTTATAAAATTGAATAAATAGTTAAAACAAATAGTATGATTGTAGTAGAAATATAAAAAAGTTGATAGGCAAAATAAAATATATATTTTATAGTAATGTTTGGATAGGTAAAATGCTTATTAATATTAGAGATGCTCTTATACGTAAAACACAAGCACTAATTTGTTTCATTAGGTAAATATTGAATAATGCTGGAGACTTATATTTGAAACTCTCAAATACACTCCCAATGATATGGTAAAAAAGTAGAGTCTCACATAATTGCGTATGTGACAAATCAAAAGTTTACACCTATCATTTTATATCAATGTGGGTGAAATTGTGAGGGTTTTATTAGAAGCGTTGAACATTTCTTGTTAATGTTATATGAATAAAAAAAATTATATAGATTGATGAAATTTTTTGTGATCTTTTTTCATTTATTTTTTTTTCAAGTTAAAATATTTATCATTATTATTTATAATTACAAAAATATTACTACCACGTTAGTCATCATAAATTTTAAGCAAAAAAAAAAGTTTATAATTCATTTTTATAACTTCAAATCCTTTGCCTTTATTTTTATTTTTTAATTTTATAATTGATATGAGAGATATAAATGTTTTGCCATATAAACACACGACATCATCCAGGCATTGTTTCCATTCATACATGCACGTGTCTCTTTCTCACAACAAAATGCTGCATAAAGAAACAAATATGGACCGACCAAACACAAAATGTGAAATTTGATTATCCATTTTTTAGGTTGTAAATGTAGTACCCGAATAGTGAAATATTGAAATTTGATTTAAAAATTTAACAAACTTAAAAAAATATTCAACCTTAATTTTAATTGATTTAAACAAGTTTTAATGTAATCAATCACAAGTCAAGTGAAGTTAAAGTAAATTTATTTTGTATATAATTATGTAATAAGTATAAGCTTATTAATTTAATTTTGAGTCAGATAAAAAAATAATTAACTTTAAAATATGTTTAAATTTTATTTATTTACCAAATGAACTAATATGAAACTCCAATAATTTAATTAATTTTACAATCACTGCTCGAGTATGTTTGATTTGAACTTCTATGTAAATACAAATGAAAGATTTTCCTTAAAAGTGAGTAATGTTAACGAGAGTGGCAAAAGTATGCTATCATGACTAATTTGTAAGCATTTTAGACAATATTGGACGGTGATAATCACCGGCTGAGTCAGAAAATTAAATTAGGAGAGTATTTATTAATTTTAATATTGAAACTTTTTATAAAAATATTTCACATAAATTTTTTCGATTGATTTTAAGAAACGTCAAAAAAATAATATTATTTGTAACTAATGTATCATGGACAATACAAAAAAATGTGGATATAAGTCTTAAAATAAATTATATAATGATAAATTATTTTTTTATACAAAATTTGATTAAAAATTCAATATAATGAAAATACTACGTCATTATTGGTATGTGATATCATCTACTAATAGTAAATAAACGCATAGAGAGTGAACATTAAATGTCAAATGTAATTAACAATTCAATAAATTTTATATCTTTATAGTGATATTACTTATACTTACATGTCACCAATAATAACACCACCGTCACATTCAAAATTTTTCATAAATAATATAGTTTATAGTAATATTTTCATTTTTAATCAAAATAACAATTATTGTTCTCATAATTTTTAAAATATCATTCATATTTCATTCTAATAATATTTTTGTAATTTTTTTATTTAAAATATTTTCTTTTACAAAACCTTTTTTAAAAAAAAATTCCAGAATCTAGGGAGCACGTGACCTCTCCAGTCCCTTATTACCGCCGCCACTGGTGATAAAGGTGCAATTTTGAACATGGCAATGGTGTCAAAATCAGGCCTTCAAAAGTCAAGTTAAAATACATATTACATTATGAAAAATTAAGGTTGAATCTAAATTTAAGAATAAAATTATTTTTTAGGAATTAAATAATTTTATTATAAAAAAGTGTCGGTATTATATTTTTAATAACAAAAAATTGAACATTAGTGATGTATTATTATCCTTTAAGGACTAAATTTTTTATCTCAAAAAATTATCTATTTTAAGATCAAATTATTTTGTCCCTAAAAGTCTATTTATTAGTGACATTTTTAAAATTTTGTAGCTAAAAATTTTATTTTTGACTTTTTAAAATTATTTTTTACCAATTATTCACACGATGATAGAAAAAGACAAGGAACTGGTTGGGCAATATTAACCATGCCATATTCCCCATATTCCCCTAAATTATATGAATAAGTGGTATGCTTGTTGAGAGAAGAGAAACATAGGCGGAGTATATGTACATTTCTTAAGAATGACAACTTTTCCAATACTCCCAATTCCTCAACTCTTCCAGACTATCAAAATCTTAAAGTCAGAATCATGTGGTTTGAAAACTTAAAACACTACCAAAAGCTAAATAGGATCAATTTTCATGAAGACACGTTTAAGAAGTCCTATATTTAGTTTTTACATAATAAAAAAACTCACCCTCTTATTACTTATCAATGACTTCTCTAACATAACAAAACAAGAAATACTTGTCCACCACTTCACGTATTTAGTTTTTACTATTAGTTTTGAAAAACATGTATATTGAAGCATGTATTTCTGAATACTAATGTGTGCAATTTTTTTTATAGATGGCTTTTGGCGTGGACTTGTGGATACTCCTTTTTGGTGTATGGAGGATAATTTTGACTTTTGTATACTTTTGATAATTTTGGCATCTTCTCATTTGTTTAGATTACTATTACTCGTACATATTTTTTTGACATCGACTCGATAATTATTGGCGCGGTATATAAAATTCCTTTTGTCATCGTACAGATTACGATGGTAATTTGTACCACAACAAATGGTCATTTTGCATGGTAGTACATATATTTTTGGTACACATGAATCATTACAGGAAATTGCACTTTTGCCGACCAAAAATTTAGTCGGCAAAAGTTATCCGTGACTAATTTTTTTGGTCGCCAATTGAGGGTTGGGAAAAGTAATTAGCGACTAAAAAATTTTTTAGTCAGGAAAAAATTCTATTTGCCGACTAAATTTCTGGTCGCTAAATATATAATTACCGCAATTAATTCATTTTGTAGCTAAAACACTTTAGTCGCTAAAAGTGATATTTTCCCGACTAAATATGTTAGCCGTGAATTGTCACGTTCCCTGACCAAAAATGTTAGTCGCCAAAAGTAATGTTTGCACGACTAAAACTTTAGTCGGCAATAGACCTATTCGCGACCAATCACTTTGGTTGCCAAAATTAATAATTTTACCGATTAATTATTTAGTCGCCAAATGTACCCTTTCGCCTACCAACATTTTGGTCACCAAATGTGAATAGTGAAACACCGACTAATCACTTGGTCGCCAAAAGAGGAAAAACCAAATCAAATTTTGGTCGCCAATTCAAATCTTTTTGTCTATCAAAATATAAATAAAATATAAAAAGAATTCTATTTGACCTGAATGATATATAATAATCCATCCAAACCATTCAATAAAACCTGTAATTTACAAAAATCATTCAAACCAACAAAATCAAATGAATCATGAACAGTAAACACAACTCTTCCAATGAATCCATTCTGAAAATATCGAAATAAACACAACTCTTCAGCAACATAATGACTAAAAAGGTTATGAAATTTAAGGTACAACCCTTTGTGTAAAAAAAAAGAAAAGAAAATAAAAAGAATGGGCAACCAAAAATGATATGAAAAATGCTAAATAAAGTTACATTACAGCTGAATAGCTGAAAAAACCAGCTACAATAATCAGACTGTACTATAAAGGGCATCATAATTCCATTCCTTGACCAAATTCTTCAATTGTTTTTGTGGCGAGCGTAAGAACATCCACGAAAGCACTAAATGATGCACGAAGAAATCTTGCTTCAACTGCTTCAAAATGCCTGTACAATAGGATGGAAAGATAAAAATATCATAATGGAAAGAATGGCACAAACTTATGCACTGTTCACATATTTTTCTTTCGGCTAATTTTTTTATAAGAGATTAATACAATATACAACTATTTTTGATAAATAAGTAACTCACACAGAAAGCCATTAGATACAGTCATCTGCCTTTTCATTTTGTCTGGCTGTAACTGTAGTTAAATATAAAATTTATTAACATCGGATCGATTGAAGAACAATAATCAAGGAAAGTTGGTTGCAGTTAAAGCATCATGAGACAACACCTCCTTGTCAACAGCCAATGCTGAGTAAACAATTTGAGCATTTTCCTCAAACTTGTAATCTACTTCAAAATCATTGCCAGAATAAATAAATAAAACTCTCAATCAAACAAACCATGTAATGGTCTTTGGATCAAAATCTTCAAAAACAGAAAAACTAAAATTCTCCTACTCCCCGAATACCTCTCAAACTGCCAATTCATTGCCCTGCATTATATTCCAGTGGACTCCACAACATTACCTCACAGCCTTCTCTTTTCATTTTAAGGCAGAGAAGCCGAGATATAATTGATTTGTTCTCTCAGACATTGGTCATCTGTGTGGCTCTCTTTCCTTATCTTCAACCACCCTTTCTATTATATATCAAATGAAATTACAGAAAACAAATAATTAAATTAATTAATTAAAAATTACTATATATAATGCATGCATTATTTCTGAACTTTGTTTCTTCTATTACTATTTCAAGATTTGTGTTAAAGCTAAGAACCATGTCAGAAGAGCAGAATGGGAAGCTCGAAGAACGGGCATTGCCAGAACTGAAGTTATCAGACTTATTATTCACAGAGACGGTGAGAGGACACCATGAAGCTATTGAAACTGAGTGGGATTCACTTCGAAGGTCAGCGTGCCAGACAGTAGCAGGGAGGGCTCTGTGGAAGCATGTGATCTATGATCCATTTGCAGAGTTACTTGCAGGAGAACTGTACCTGAGAAGCCTTTACGAAAAGATAAAGAAAGATCGCTACAAAATTCCTAGGGAAGTCTCTGGCGTCATGCTTGCTGTTCGAACCCTGTGGTTTGATGAGAAAATTGAAGTTGCTCTCAGTTTTTTCGATGGTGGAGCAACACATGTTCTTCTTCTTGGCACAGTTTGGTAATTCGTTACCCCAATTATTCTTCCATTTCTGTACCTATCTTGTTGTGTATAGTAATAGCTTGAACAAATGAAGCCAAAGTGAGAGGGTAATTTGTATGAATAAATTGGGCCGAGATTGAGTAATGGGCCGCTTTGGGCCGTAGTAAGAAAGGCGGAGTAAAATGACTTTTTTCATTAGCTCGGTCCAAGAAGGCCTTGTTGTTATCTCGGTCGCCACGGCCAAATTGGTTAGTTCGGTCATGGCATGCAAAGCCGAGGTGAAAGTGAGAAAGTATACTGAGCCCTCTTCAGGACTTGGTTTTGGGTTAGTTCGGCATAGGCTCTTCCATGGATAGCTCGGTCTTGGCATGTGAAGCCGAGGTAGGGGAAAAGCAAGGAATAGCCGAACTAACAGTTAGATCGGTTACTCCAGTCAGCCTAGCATGGCAATGTTATTTCGGTTGTATGGTAGTCCGGCCATGGTAAAACCATCTCACTTAGTTTAAGCAGTGAGGGGGGTGTTGAAGGATAAGCATTATCCTTCAGGAGTATGAATCCTAGGAGGACTCTACATGGAGGAGTAAGAGTCCTACTTGGATTGTGCCACATGGAACCTATAAAAGCTCACAAACATCACCTATGGAGAGGTAACACAACTTTGATTCCTGAATACACAGAGCTTTTGTCTACTTGTCTATTTTGCTGACTTAGGCATCGGAGAGGTTTCCGACACACACTCGGCGGCTAGCTCACGTTTGTGTTTTCAGGGAGTAAAGCGACGACGTTTGGAGGAGTGCAGACTTGATCAACGGGATTATACGAGAATGTTTATTTCATAAAAAAAAATTAATTAAATTTTAAAAAATGCAGCCAAAGTCTATTAAGAAAAAAATGCAGCCAGAATATCTGTTATAAAAAAAATGCAACCAAAGTATCCACAAAATTGTGTCAAATTGAGGTATATATCTACCTCTTCATGGATCATGGATAGTCAACAAAAAGAAAGTTGTGTAATTGTTGGAAAATTTTCTAAAATTAAAGTCGTAGTTTTTGGATATTTTCAAAATCTTCCTTGTTTACATTTGGATAGTTTGGGAGTTTGTCTCACAATGGAAAGAGAGGAAGGCACAACGTGATTCATAAGGGTTGCCATACCCATTCAGAGGGGTGCAGCCAGGCCTATAAATAGGCAGTGGTCCAGGCTACTCATCCCAGAATTTGGAATCTATATTAGTGTCTCTGTTGTGTCTGTGCTTATCAACCAAGAAAATTTTAAACCAACAAGCTGACAAATGACACCACTATACACCATTTAGTCAAAATTTAAATCAATAGATAACAGTCCAGATAGCTAACCTAACACCACCCATTTGTTCAAAAATCCATCCTATTTTAAACACATTTTTTGGCTTGCAATATTAAATCAAGGCAAGGTATGGATTAGGAGGGCATGGCCTAGATTTGTGTATATATGCCCCTGAATCTTCAAATATCATTATGGGAGTGTGTCCATTTAATTAGCTTCATTTGCATACTGCCATGCCTTTAATCATTTAGGCAGAGATAGTTTGAGAGAGAACCACAAACAATTTGCCTCAGGATCCTGTCAACTACCACACATCCCAAACCACATCTTCTTGATTACCCAACAAAGCCCTCACAAAAATGTATTCAAGATATACTTCCTGTGCCATGAATCACTTGCTTATGAGGATCTTCTTAATAAAATTCAAAAGACAAATTGCTGTTATGTCCCCAGGATTATCAATTAATAAAACATTTTCTTCTCCCCTCAGCATGGGTTAACAATATAATGTCATGAACTAAAATTATGGAAAGATATTGCAGACATATTACCAAAAATTACAAGCAAAAGTAACTGAATTCTTTGAATATCTAAATGGAGAACCTTTATGTGGATCCTAGAATAGAAACCAAAATGATTTACAAAATTATAAATACATACTTACAAGGAAATCAATGAACATGTGAAAAATTAACTACCATAATTAACTAGTGCAAAAGAGACAGATATGGCATTACTTTCCCTTGAGGAAAACAGAGCGCAAAGTGAAAATTAACTGCCATAATTCCATTGAATCATTATAACTTGAAGGACCCCAAGTTACTTCTGGAAAAGCTCTGCAACCAAACAAGGTGTTTGTGAACAATAATTTTCAAAAAAAAATTTGGCGGGGTGGGGAAACTTCACGACGAATTCACAAGACTCGGATATAATACATGTAGCGCAGTTACTAAGAAAATCGAGTAAAAAGAGAACAACTCAAACATGTGAATCATAGATAAATTTCACTATTTAGGGCTAAAGAAAACCGAAGCTCCATAACCGAATGCATAGAAGAATTATTCTTAACACAAATGTTTTTTTTTTTTAATCAATTTCTCAACAACCAAACCGATGCAAATAGATAAAATAAAAAATTCTTGATAGAGAACAATAACAATGGCAAAAAGAACTTACTTGGTCCATTAATGATTTGAACTGATCAATTGCTTCTTTAGTTACAGCTCCCATTGCTCTTCTCTCTCATCAAATGTACACAACGATCGAATTTACCACTCAGAGCAACAAAAGTGTGGAATTAAACAAAACTTGGAGCTCATATACGCTTCAAATGTAGAAAAAGAGTAAAACCCTAAAATAATTTTATCAAAATCCTACAACATCAAAAATAAAATTAAATAGATCCGCTATGGTGAGGGAAGGGAGAGAGAGAAAGAAAAAGAGGGATAGAGAGAAAAGAATACCTGAATGTGGAATAGAGAAACAAATAGGGGGAATAGAGAACGGGGGACAACGATATATATATATATATATAGAGAGAGAGAGAGAGAGACCGACGACAAAGGCTAGAGACAGAGAGAGCAAGAAACAGAGAAAGAGAGACAGATAGATAAACAAACAGACAGACCAAGAGTGAGTGAGAGATCCTGTAAAGATGTTGCTGCGGCGGTGGTGCTGGCGCTGGCGCTGGCACTGGCAATGACAATGGCGTGCGACGTTGGTCTGAGATGAGGCGAGATGAGGCGAGGCTTGGTGGTCACAAACTGTGTATGAGAGAGAGAACAAAAGAAGGTGTAAACCTAAACAGGGCGCCAATATTAAACAAGGGCGCTAAATTTGAAATGTCAAATATTTTAGTTCTTTTGGCAACTAAAACAATTTAATCGATGAAAATAAATGTTTAGTGACTAAGTTTTTGGTCACTAAAGATAAAAAGTAAATTTTTGTTGTTAATTCGGCGACTAAATAATTTTAGTAGTTAAAACCAACTCTACAACGACTAAAAAAAAAATTTGTCGTTGAAAATAAATTTTTAGCGACCAAAAGTTTGGTCACCAAAGATAAAATGTAATTTTTATTTATTTATTCGGTGACTAAATAATTTTAGTAGCAAAACCTAACTGTACAACGACTAAAAAAATATTTTAATCATTGAAAATAAATTTTTGTTTTTATTCGGCAACTAAATAATTTTAGTAGTCAATACTAACTCTACAGCGACTAAATTTTTTTTTTTCGTTGAAAATAAATTTTTGGCAACCAAAAGTTTGGTCGCCAAAGATAAAATGTAGATTCTTTTTTTTTTTTCATTCGGCGACTAAATAATTGTAGTAGTAAAAGATATTTTAATAGCTGAAAATAAATTTTTGGCGACCAAACTTTTGGTCGTTAAAAATAAAAAGTAAATTTTTGTTTTTCATTTGGCAACTAAATCATTTTAGTAGTCAAAACTAACTCTACAGCGACAAAAAAAATTTTTTGTCGTTGGAAATAAATTTTTGGCAACCAAAAGTTTGGTCGCCAAAGATAAAATGTAATTTGTTTTTCATTCAGCGACTAAATAATTTTAGTAGCCAAACCTAACTGTATAGCGACAAAAAAAAAATTTTGTCGCCAATTGTCATATTTTTAGCGACTAAATTTTTTTTTAGTCTGCAATAATCAATATACCCCAATTAAAAAAATTAATAGCTAAATCATGTACTTTTGCCAACTAATATAATTTTTGGTCACAAATTCCACAACTTTTGGTAACTAAATTTTTTTTAACCACCGCAACTGTAATTTCCTATAGTGACAAAGGGCTTGATTTTTGTAACTTAATAGTTATATTTTGTATGAAATTATTAAAAATGTTTCGACTCTGTAATACAGGTTGGACTATGGTTTGTATGGAATTTTATATTTACAATTATACATTTTGGATAGTTAGAAGTGAAATGGATGGAAATTTATTGTGGAATGGTTGATAATAGATGTATTGCTTTGTTCAGATACTTAGTATAGGTTGCACGGAATACATACACGTTGAAGACAAATTATAATTTGGAGAAAAAACATAAAATTATGTTTTTGGCGACTAAACAATTCGTAGGCCAAAAAGAAGTATATAATTTAGCAACTAAATAGTTAGTAGCAAAAAAAAAAAAAAAATTTGGCCACTACGGGCTTGTTTGGGAACAGGCTTTTTAAATATTTTTTTTGGCTTTTTGACTAAAATATGATGTAAAAAAATTAGTATGCTTGTGATGACTTTTTAATTTTTTATGAAAATATGTGCAAAAAGTAGAAAAGAAAAGATAATTTTTGATTTTTTGGTATAAGTTGTTTACTTTTTGATTTTTTTTAATGAATTTTTGACTTTTAAGCTAAAAAGTGATGTTGCCAAACGAGAAAGTTTAGTAGCCTTTTGACTTTTAAGCTAAAAAGTGATGTTGCCAAACGAGAAAGTTTAGTAGCCAAAAAATAAATCACACTTTATGGGACTAAAATTTTTAGTAGCCACAAAATTGCAAACAAACAACAAACATATTTTGGCAACTAAAGATTTAGTAGGCAAAAACAAGTTAGATTTTAGACTATTAAAACTTTAGTAGCCAAAAAAAATCAAACATACTAAATTATTTAGCCTCCGTTTGGCAAGTTGGGTTGTGAGCTTTTTTGGCTATTTTAGCTACAAAAGACAAAATAGGCTATTTTAACCATAAAAAACAAAA